TTTTGATTTTATATTGGAGTGGACAGATTGCTTTTGTCTTCAGGAGTTCCTGCAGAGGCGGAAGTCAGATAAGAATCAGATTCTCTCAGGCTTTCTCCTAAGGTCTGGATCCCTCCAGGAAAGATTTTGGCCTCAGGAATTTGGGGGTTAGACTGGCCTGGGAGCCCGGCCCAGGAAAGGTGCTGGTCTAGGGCAGCTGGTGGCTGTGTCACCCAGAGATGCAAAGGAAGATGGGGCGGGAAGTGGCCCCAAGGGCTCCTGGGGACTGCACTGAGTTGCTGGGTTGGTCTGGATGCAAAGGATCAGGAAGAGGAAAGGTCAGCCCGGCCTCCAGGAAAGAGGCTGGCCGGTCATCCAGGCCGAGAGAAGTAGAGGGAGGTGAGGGCGGGGCCAGGCCCAGAGTGCTCCTGGGGACCAAGGAGAAACCGAGTTGGTCTGGATGCAAAGGATCAAGAAGGAGTGGTGGTTCCCCAGGTGTCTGGGGCCCCAAGACAAGGAATGGGACAGGACCCAGGCTAGGAGGAGAGATGGGTGGGGGAGATGGGAGGGTGAATGAGGCTGGGGGAGTCAAGGCGCAGAGGGCCCGATGGAGTTACCCCGGAGAGAGGCCTGCTGGTCAGAGAGATGCCTGAGGGTCATCCAGGCCCAGAGAAGCAGAGGGAGGTGAGGGCCGGGTCTGGCCTTTTTTAAGGAGTTTTAAAAGCATAGATTTCTGGCTTAGAAGTCCCTCTTTATACTTAATAGAAATGTGGTGTAACAATCAGGAACATCAACAGAGGTCTGAACTAAATGTGTAGGGCTGTGAATAAAGATGCTTTTGTAGACCAGTATCTTCAGCTCTTTCCCTTTCCACAGATTCTGTGATTCACCTCCAGGAACTTGTCCCTCAAGCTTCAGACCTGGAGACCCTGTCTAGATCATCCTCAGCTGAGTTCTCTGCTGCTACTGTTCCTGGTAAGATCTGTTTCCCCTTCCTCGGTTCATTTTTGGCTTATTCTCACTTTGTCATTTATTTGCTTCTTTCTTCATTTCCACCTATGACAGTTGTTTTTTAATTTCTTATTGATTTTTTTAAGATTTCCATGCAATACAATTTGATGGTATTTGTATCCCCTACCAAATCCTTACCTCCTCTTACTGCCCCTCCCCACCTAATTTAATGTAATATGTGTATGTGTGTGGGAGAGAGAGAGAGAGAGAGAGAGAGAGAGAGAGACCTATAGAGTCTAGTTTGTATCCCCAAATGTCCTTCAGTGTGGGTCTATCCACTGGAGCCAGTTAATACTCCAGCTTTGTATCCAGTAGATTCAGCATTCAGTTGACTCTCATTATTTGAGACAGTATGTTTTGTCTATAAATTTTCTGCAAACATTCATGAATTCTCTTACTCCAAGAGCTATGTGCATACACACATTCACACACATACACACACATATACACACACACATACAAACACACGCGTGCATTATCTTCTTAAAATCTAACAATCCCATCCTAGAAGATTCTGTTTTCTGTATTGTATCAAAGGGAAAGAGGCTCAGAAGTGACTTTTCAGATGCTGTACTACCAAGTGCCTGATTGGGACTCTAAGTCTGTTCACTGTATAGAAGCAGAGTTGCTTACAGGCCCTACACTGCCCCTTACTATTGTATACTCTGGTCACCACCTCATGAGTGCTGAGACAGGAAGAATGGATGTCACCTTATTCAGCCTCCGCTGAGAACCTGAATGTTGAGTGACTCAAAATTTTTCCCCAGTGTGGGCATGTTCCTGAGTGGCCATAAAAGCATCGGGAGTATTGATTTTTGAGGTTACAAATCAATTTTAGTGAACAGGCAACTTGGTAAATATGGATTCTATTCATAATGAAGAGTAATTGTATATATAGCCCTCATGAAAATGCTGTTGCCCACACAGGGAACAAGCTCCTTGAGGGCCTCAACCATGTTTTAGTCACTTTTCTCAGCATCCCTCTGTCTTTCCCCAGTCTCCAGCCCCTTACACAATGGCCTCCATTTGGCAAAGCTCAGCAGCTGTTTTGCCAAATGGTCAGGCAAGCAGGACTCGGATTCCTTCTTCTGGGTGCTGCTAAGAGTCACCGTGTTTTTTCAGTTTTCTCTTTCTACAAGTAGCCAAAATTGTTCTGCTAGATGATAAGAAATCTCCTTAGATACCATAAAGCAAAGACCATGGCATTTCCTGGCCAGACTTCACATTACCCAGCAGACCTAAAGGGATGACCCAGATTCTGAGTATTGGAGCAGCTTCAGGCATCTGTGTAAGGCAACCTGAGCAGCTTTGGGTGGGTGGGTAGGTGTGTCTGTGTGTGTGCGTATGCATGTGTGTGTGTGTGTGTGTGTGTGTATGTGTCTCTCTGTGTATGTGTGTGAGCTTTTTGTTATAGAAAACTTATAATGTACAAAAGATCATCCAGCTACAACAATTATTGTCTCATAATGGCTCTTGCTTCATCAGTGTGCCCAGGCTTCTAATGGATTATCTTGAAATAAATCCCAGATATGTTATTTCACTTATGTCATTATAAATTTCTAAAAGATAAAAGCATTTATAAATCCAAACCACTGGGGACTGACGAGATGGCTCAGAGATTTAAAGCATGTACTGATCTTGAGGAGGACCTGAGTTCAGTTGCCAACACCCACATCTAGCGTTCACAGCTGCCTATAACTCTAACTCCATGGGATCTGACCCTCTCTTCTAGAGTCTGAAGACACCTGCACTCACATCTGCCCATACCCACACAAAGACATATATGTAATTAAAAAATAAATCTTGAGAAAATTCAAACCACAATGTCATTATCATACCAAAAAACAAATTAATGTTTTTTATCAAATAGTATTAAAATATCTCCAGTTGTCACATAAAGAAATTTTTTTACATGTTGTTTTTCTAAATCAAGGTCCAACACACATGACATTTGGCTAAAATATGTCTAAGTCTGTTTACTCAGTTAACTAACCACCTCTTTACTTTTTTCAGTCCTCCAAACTCTCTTTCATTTGTGGAAAGAACTAGACAATTTGCCCCATAGAACCTCCCACATGCTGAATATTGCTGGATGCTTCTTTATGGCAATGTGGGTCCCTGTCCCCACTATTTCTAGTATACTGGTAGTTTAGAGCTGGAAGCTTGTCTTGTTTCGGACTTAGTATTTTTTTAACTACATTTATTGAGTGTAAGTGCACATGCATGTGTGGCACAGCATGAATGTAGAGGTCAAGATAACTTGTAGGAGTTGATCCTCTCCTACTGTGTGGGTCCCAGGGACCAAACTTAGATCCTCAGACTTGGCAGAAAGCACCTTTTACCCGCTGAGCCATCGCCAGTCCCCAGGGCTTTGTGTAACTTATTAATTATAGTTGATATATTTTATTATACATTTCCAATGAGGGGCACACAGTATCCCCTATCTCTGTATTATGACTCAAACAGTCATTGATGATATCAAGTAGATCTATCATTCCAGTAAGGTCTTATAAAATGGTAAAATTCTATCTTTCCCTCTTCACTTATTAACCGAACTATTGATCACCTTTTGCTCTGACTTCTTGCTCCAGGGAGTACCCTAGTACATTCTCCCAGTCCAAAGGAGAGGAGTTTCCCTCAGACTCAGCCCCTGCTGGAGTTTGTGCCCCCAGAAGCACCCCCTGCCAGGGATCAATGGGTCCCAGATGAAACCGAAAGCATCTGCATGGTCTGCTGCAGAGAGCATTTCACTATGGTAAGTGCATCCTCTCTCAATATCACTTGAGGGAAAGAAAAGGAAAGAGCCAGGTTGTGAGCTTGAGTTCACAGTTGCCTATCCCCAAGTGGATAGTGATGTTTTGGGGTCTGCCAAACCTTTACCTCTCACCTGACCTGGGTGTATTTTCAGGATCCAGTGACATCCTCAAATAGCTTTAAATTATAAAACCTTTGTCTTAAGCCAGGTCTGGTAGCACATGCCTTTAAATCCCAACACTCAGGGGGCAGAGGGAGACCGATCTCTGTGAGTTCAAAGCCAGCCTGATCTGCATAGTGAGACCTGTCTCAAAAACAAAAACAAAACAAAGAAAACCTTTGTCATTCTTACTAGATAATAAAAACAAGCAGGAATCCTGAAGTCTTATGGAGCTTATATCTAGCTCCTGTGTCTTTCACAGTAAGACAGTGACCTGGTAGTGCTTTTAAATGCTGGCTCAGGAGAGAGACCCACTTCCTGAATCTCATCTGGATCTCCTAATAGCCAGATGACTGTAAACATTTTCAATCTCCTGTGCTCTTTTATAAATTAGGGATGATACATTAATTGACTCAAGGAGCTGTTAGAACTACATGTGATCACAAATGTTACCATACTTAACACCAGCACATGTCTAGCAGATTAGCTCAGTACTGATGCTAACCTGATTTCTCTACATCACCTTCCTCTTCATCTATGAAAGAATATAAGATGACTATGAACCTCATACAGTGAAATGAAGCAGTACTTGTAAGAAAAAAAAAAGAAATTGGGGGGGGGGGTGAGTATGTGACTGTTAGTAAAGTGCTTGCCTATCATGCACAAAGCCCTGGGTTCAGTTCCTGGTACCACATAAAATGAGTATGATGGTTCACATCTGTATTCCCAGTACTCAGGAAGTAGAGGCAGGAGAATCAGAAGCTCAAGGTCATCCTCAGTACATAGCAAGGTCAGCCTGGGCTATAAGAAATGGTGTCTCAAAAAAAGTAAAATAAAGGGCTTTGGAGAGCTATCTCAGCAGTTAAGAATGCTTGTTGCTCTTGCAGAAGACCTGAGTTCAGTTCCCAGCACCTACATAAGGCAGCTTACAACTACCTATAACTCTAGCTCCAGGGCATCTGATATACTTTTCTGGCCTCTGTGGACACCTAAACTCATATGCACATACCCACACACAGAGACAGACACGTAGTGAGGATTAACTATATTTAGCCCTCATGAATATTGTTACCCACACAGGGAACAAGCCCCTTGAAGGCCTGGACCATGTTTTGGCCATCTTTTTTAGCACCCCTCTTTCTCTAATCTCTAGACCCCTATATAATGGTCTCCATTCAGAAAAGGCTCAGGAGTTGTTTTTCCAAATGGTCAAGAGAGTAGGACTCTGGGATTCCTTCTTCTGGGTACTGCTGTAGTCCAAGCTGGCCTAGAACTCACTGTATAGCCTAGGGTGGCCTCAAGCTTTCAACAGTCCTCCTGCCTAAGTCTCCCAAGTGCTGGGATTCTAAGTGTGAGTCACCATGCCAACACTCTCTAATGCTATTGCTGTTCTCCACATGCTGTCTTCACATAGAAGTAAAACTTGTCAGGAGCTATTGATTGCAGAACTACCATGACTTGGAACATTTCTCTGTCAGCTGAGTAATACCTTAAAATGACAGACAGTTTGGGAGACTTTTTCTTTTCTTTTGAGTATATGGGGTGGGGCAGTGGATATGTGCTGAGGATCAAACCCAGGGCCTTCTGTACTAAGCTACATCTCCAGTCCTCTCAGTGTCACTTTTCTGAAAAATGGTGTGCTCATTTTCAATAGAATGTATGTTCTTTTTTAAAAAAGTTTTTTTAATTGATTTTTTTTTTTTTTTTTTTTTTTTGCCTTATATGTATCAGTTTTGCCTGCATGTATGTGAGTGCATCCATGTCATGCAGTGCCTGTGGAGGTCAGAAGAGGGCATTGGATCTCTTGGAACTGGAGTTATAGACAATTGTTAGCTGCCATGTAGGTGCTGGGAATTGAACCCAGATCCTCTGCAACAGCAGCCAGTGCTCTTAACCACTGAGCCATTTCTCCAGCCCCTAAATGCCTGTTCTTAGTAAGCCACTGGTGGCAAAAAAAAAAAAAAAGCTATAAATGTATTGATAACAATCTCACCTTTATCTTTTCCCTCTTCTTTCTATCCCAATGACTTTCCTCAGTTTAACAGGCGTCATCATTGTCGCCGCTGTGGCCGACTAGTGTGTGGTTCCTGCTCCACTAAGAAAATGGTTGTAGAAGGCTGCAGAGAGAACCCTACACGTGTGTGTGACCAGTGCTACAGTTACTACAACAAAGAGTGAGTGACCTGCAGCAGGGCCGATTCTATTATATATCACTGCCACTTCCTCTGGGTGCCTACACTTTAACAATTCCACTGTGGAAAATGTTTCCATGCCAGACATGTGGCACATGCCTCTAATCCTAAGCAGAGGCAGTCAGATCTCTATGAGATCAGGGCCAGCCTAGTCTACATAGCAAATTCCAGGCCAGATGGGGTTACAGGGAAATCCTGACTCAAACAAACAAACAAAAAGAGTTTCCAATCTGTTACACTCACAGAAATGTTTACTATTCACACTGCAGTGCCATTTATCATACTGTGGAATGCTTATAGACTAACCCTGTCACAGAAACTACTGAGAGGAAGTATGGATGAGAGAAAACAGTATTTAAAGTTTTTATGTGCTGGTTTTTCTATGGTCAAAGCATGTGGCTCTTCAGCCCTTCCCCATACTGTGGTCACAATTCTGTGCCACCTCACCTGTTTTCTGGCATTCTTGCTTCGTGTGGTCCCAGCTGGATTCAGAGTGACATGTCCATACCTGCTGAATGTTTGGGCTCACTTACTTCAGCTCTAAACTAGATAGTCATCTTGGCTTGTTACCCATAATTAGACAAGCCCTTACATTTTACTGCACATGGTTCACTTGCAGATAAATTTCAGAAAGTTCCCCTACCTCTGGCAAGGAAGATAGATGAAGACCTTGTTTACTGACTCATTTGCTTGGTGTGGGTTTTTTGTTTGTTTGTTTGTTTGTTTGTTTGTTTGTTTGTTTTCCCACTACTTCTACTAACAAAAGAATGTGAAACAAGGCTCCTAGAACTGCTGGGAAAAATCAGCTTTCCAAAATTTAAATTCTCCATGTTTTATTTTATTCAGCAGGCTTAACTAGATTTCATAGTCTACTCATTAGCCTTTTGTTTGTTTTCATATGAACATTTTTGGTCATTATTTACCATAATGAGCATTGACTGCAGAGGAAGGAAAGCCTGCCATAATCATTCTACTGTTCCTACAACCCTAACATGCCACTCACTGCCTCCTCCCTCATGTGCAGGACAGGGATCACCCACACACCATATTGCTGAGATTTTAAATGAACACCTAGTATTGATAGGGAGTCTTTCACCAGGTGTCACTCATCAATAATTACTTTACCCTAAAGGAGCCCCCATTTTACTAGGGAGACAGCCAATAATCAGACCACAAGATGATTGGATAAATGCAATGGTGACAGTACATGCAGTTTGATCCAGATAGTTCAGAAGTAACCCCAGAAGATGAATCTTAGGGAATGAGGAATTTGTGGGAGGGGAGGGGAGGAGAGGAGAGAAGAGGAAAAGAAAGGAAAGGAAAGGAAAGGAAAGGAAAGGAAAGGAAAGGAAAGGAAAGGAAAAAGGAAAAAGGAAAAAGGAAAAAGGAAAAAGGAAAGGAAAGGGAAGGAAAGGGAAGGAAAAAGGGAAGGAAAAAGGGAAGGGAAGGGAAGGGAAGGGAAGGGAAGGAAAGGAAAGGAAAGGAAAGGAAAGGAAAGGAAAAAGGAAAAAGGGAAGGAAAAAGGGAAGGAAAAGGGAAGGAAAAAGGGAAGGAAAAAGGGAAGGGAAGGGAAGGAAAGGAAAGGAAAGGAAAGGAAAAAAAGCATGCCCAGAGGTAGGAGTAGCACTGCAAAGGCAGAAGCAAGAGAAAATGTGACACATTTGAGGAACTGGGAATGGGTAGGTGACAGGCTAGAGTTCTGGTCAGTGAACCCTGGACTTAACAGCTGGTAGCTCAATAGGGAGAATGTAGACAATGGCACAAGACTTAGGCTTGCTCTCTGGTGCCATGGACTAAGGTTAACCAGCACATTCCTTATACAGATAGTCAGCATGGGTTCCCACTTGTAGCATTAGCACTTAGTCTTCAGTGGCACCAGCAAAAGTTGACCAGGGCCAGTAGTAGAGCAATGAGGGCTTCCATAGCTTGAGAAGAGGTCATGAGTGGCAGGAGACCCCTAAAGAGGCCATCAGGCTAGATCTTAAAGGGCTTTTCTACTGAAGTGTGAGTGTCGAACATTTATACCCTGAGCAACTCCTAAAGAATTTTTAAATTCTGGGCATGGTGGCACGTGCCTTTAATCCCAGTACTTGGGAGGCAGAAGCAGGTGGAGCTCAGTGAGTCAAAGCCAGCCTATTCTACATAGTGAGTTCCAGGCCAGCTGGGGCTATAGGGAAACCCTGTCTCAAAAAGACCAAAAGAAAGAAAAAGAATAAGAATTTTTAAGCAAGAATAGAATGTGACCAGATTTGCACTTTTGAAAGCCTGCTATAGCTGCAAAGTAGAGAATAGGTAGCCAGAGTCAAGGACAACAATGGGGAAGTTACTGCCGATTCCAGCAAAACATGGTGAGGCCTCTCACTGAGGCGGAGAAAGAGGGATGGTGATGTTTAAAGGAATGGTTGAAAGATGAACTAGACAGACCATGGTGAGAGATTGGTTGTGACAGGTGAGGGAAAGAAAAGGATTATGCATGATTAATTCCCTGATCAATGAATAATAGAGCAAATGTCATGCCCTAAGCTCAAAACAAAGTGGGGCTTGGAGAGATGCTTCAGCAGTTAAGAGCACTAACTGCTATTGCAGAGGACCTGGGTTCGATTCCCAGCACCCACATAGTAGCTAACAACCATCCGTAATTCCAGTTCCAGGGGATCCAACGCCTTCTCCTGACATCTACAGACATTGCACAACATGAGTACACTTATACACATGCAGGCAATACACTCATACACATAAAAAATAAAAATAAAATTTAAAAAAAAAACAAAAGCACTGCTTAAGGTTAAGGCATTTCATTTTTCTTTCTCTATTTCTAGTGTACCAGAGGAGAATCCATGCCAGTCAGAAGGTGAGGCCTAATCGTGTTCTCTGTGACTGTTTATATGCTGGAGTTGGCGCTACTGTCAGTGCACCAGCTGCAACTCATTCATCCTGTGGCAACTCAGTCTACCTTGTTTGCTAAGAAAAGTTCTTTTTTTTTAATTTTTTATTTATTTATATTTTTATTTTTGTGTATGCATGTATTGCCTGCATGTGGGTAAGTGCACCCATGTTATGCAATGCCCTCAGAGGACAAAAGAGGTCAGATCCCTTGGAACTAGCATTATGGACAGTTGTTAGCTGCCATGTGGGTGCTGGGATTCGAACCCAGGTCTTCTGCATGAATAGCCAGTGCTCTTAACCACTAAGCCATCTCTCCAGCCCAAGTTTTGGCTTTTCTATCAGCCTGTTTCCCTTAAAGTTCTTCACAGTAGCCTTTACTTGGGCCCATTAGCTTCCAGCACTGGGAAGACCAGCAATCAATGAATTTGGTGCTTACTTTTAGTAAGTTACCCCACTCCATCCCTGCCCTAGGTCCCCTTCACCACCATCCTACCCTCCAGTGCTCCCCTCAGGTAATCACTGCTAGCAGTTTGGCTAATATCCACAACAGGTTAGTTTTTATAGTATCCAGTAGGTTGGCCATCTATTTAAGAAGCATGTATTGGACACATCACAGTCATTTGACAAATATTGTGACATTTATCTCCCACGCCTGTGCCTGGGGAAGAGGTCTTGAGATGCCTAATGGAATCTCCTAAAGAAAACAAAAAGAGGGGACGGAGAGATGGTTCAGAGATTAAGAGCACTGGCTGCTCTTGCAGAGACCCCCAGGTTTGGTTCCCAGCACCCACATGGCGACTAGCAACTATTCATAATTCCAGTTCCAGGTAGTCCAACACCCTCTTCAGTTCCTCAAAAGCATTGCACAATACAGGTGCAAGCAATGCACTCATACAAATAAAAATAATAAATAAAATATTTTGGGGGGCTGGAAAGATGGCTCAGCGGTTAAGAGCACTGACTGCCCTTGCAAAGGACCCGGGTTTGATTCCCAGCACCCACAAGGTGGCTAACAACCATCTGTAACTCCAGGTCCAGGGGATCTGATACCTTCTTCTGACTTCTGCAGACATTGCATGACACTGTACACTTACACACATGCAGGCAATACACTCATATATATAAGATAATAAATATATATATAATATTTTTTTTAAAAGAGAAAACAAAAAGAACAGAAAGGCAGGGCAGAGGGGGGCTGGAGAAATGGCTCAGCAGTTAAGAGCACTTACTGCTGTTGTAGAGGACCTAGGTTTGGTTCCCAGCACCCATACTGAACAGCTTACAACAACCTGTAACTTCAGTTCCAGGGGATCCAATGGTCTTTTCTGGCCTTCAAGGGTACCCCCACACACATGGTCCACATAAACTCATACAAGCATACTCATGTACAAATAAATACATACATGCATGCATACATATATATAAATCCTTTTTTAAAAAGCTAAAATAAAAGGGAGCAAGGAGAGAGAAAGGGGCCCTCAAAGAGCAGGCAGGTATCTGCCTGTAACACATACCAACTCTCTGGACCAAGCTAAACTGATGGCCAGCCAGTCACTGAATGACAATTCTCTTCTCAGTCCCAGACAGTTCTAAGAGTGAAAGCCCTCCATATTCAGCTGTGGTGAGAGTCCCCAAAGCAACTGAGGTGGAATGGATTTTGAGTCTAAATGAGGAGGAAAATGAGCTGGTGCGGAGTGAATTTTACTATGAGCAGGTAATAACAATAAAATATAATGGTCACTTAAAGTTTCCTTATGTTGTGTAGCAGTACAGCAGGAAATACAGAGGTAGGTGAATAGAGCTTGGCCTTTGCCTGCTTACTGTATAATTATGTGGGAACTAAAACTAGTAAACCAGTTAGGCAGATGAGGAACATCTCAGGAAATGCACAAGAGAAACCAGGAAGAGGGATAAGAGGGTGGCAAGCAGAAATTTGCAGGGAGTAAGGACAGGGGAAGGAGTACTGGGATCTAATAATGCTTTTATAGACATACTTTCTTAAATGGCACTAAACTTCCCCAAACTATCTGAATGAGATTTTCCCTTTAATAAGACAGAACAATGACTGCACATATAACAACCTAGGATTATATTTTGTTCCCTTTTTTTAAAACTGGCCTTCCCTCGGCCAGGCATGGTGGCATACACCTTTAATCTCAGCATTCAGGTGGCAGAGGCAGGCAGAGCCAGCCTAGTCTACATAGCAAATTCCAGGCCAGCTGGGGCTACAGGGAGACCAAAAACAACAACAAAAGGGGACAGTGATTCAGAAGGACATCTGCTGTCAACACCTGGCTTCCATACACAATACGTGCGAAGTGCGTGTGCATACACACACACACACACACACACACACACACACACAAGAAACTGAAATGTCTGAGCAAATGCATAGTATCAAAAATCACAGAACAGGACCTGGAGAGATGGCTCAGTGCTTAAGAGCACTGACTGCTCTTGCAGAGGACCTTGGTTCAGTTCCCAGCACCCACATGGCAGCTAACAGCTGTCCATAACTCCAGTTCCAAGGGATCCAACGCCCTCTTCTACCCTCTTCTGTTGCGCATGGACAGTGCACAACACAGGTGCACTTAAAGATATGCAGTCAATATACTCATACACATAAAATAAAAATAATAAAATATTTTTTTAAATCACAGAACATGACTGAGGCATTGAAAGACAATGTTAATGAAGTGAGGGGTAATGAAAGGCAAAATTGAGAAGGACTGTTTATGTCTAGAACTGAATTCTACAGTAAGAAATATGTACGTGGTAAGTGTCAGGCACCTAAGAAATTTTCCCGGTGTGCTTTAGGAATGTTGATTTAGCATCAGGACTTGATCGGGACTTGAAGCAGAGACTTCAGATAAGTGAGTGATTGTTGTAATCCAAGCCACTGATAAGAAAGACTCCAGTCATAGGACACTAGACCAGAAAGGAGGGAACCTTTGGACAGTGTCAAGTAGTAGATAACACATGGACACAACTGCCTTCTTTCCCATAGGGTGACAAAGCCTAGCATGCCGAGCTTTAGCAGTGTCACTCGGGGCATCTGAAATGTGGCTAGTTCCACTTCTGCTTTGTGTTGGAATGTTTGGCTTCCTCTTCTAGCAGTTTCCAACCTTTTGAAGTCAGAAAAAATGATTTCTGCCATACAGTTGCATTTGAAGAATGCTTTGGTCCCCAAACTCACTGCGTGTTTCCCCCCTTCTCCGCCCTGACCAGGCCCCCAGTGCCTCTCTGTGCATTGCCATCCTGAACCTGCACCAGGACAGCATTGCTTGTGGTCACCAGCTGATCGAGCACTGCTGCAGGCTGTCCAAGGGCCTCACCAACCCAGAGGTGGATGCAGGACTGCTCACAGACATCATGAAGCAGCTGCTCTTCAGCGCTAAGATGATGTTCGTCAAGGCTGGCCAAAGTCAGGACTTGGCTCTTTGTGACAGGTACATAAAAATGAGCCTCCATTGTTATACATGGTGACAAGTTTTATCTAACTTCCTTTTCGGACCCCACTATGGCTTTACATCTTCCCATCCTCTCTAACAAGACATGCTGATGTGTATCTCATTTTGATATTGGCAAAATATGATTCTCTGAGCACAAGTGGTCTTCCTTACCCTTTGTCAGCCTTACTCTCTTTCCTAACATCCTTAAAAGTAAGATTTCTCTAGTTATATCCTGTCACAAAGAAAGTAAAGACTTAAATTTGTCACTAAAGGAAGTACCCTTTAGTGCCTTTTTTTTTTAGTGTCTAGTTTTTTTAAAAAAATGTATCCTCTTTGAAAGATCAGTGACTAGCCTTGCACAGACTTCCATCCCAAACTTGACTATGACCTCTAGGACTTCTGGATAATTTGGGGCCAGTGAGCTTGCTCAGCAGGTAAAGGCACCTGCGACCAAGCCTGAGCTTGATCTCTGGGACCCACATAGTAGAAGGAGAGAACCAACTCCTACAAGTTGTCCTCTGACCTCCGCCCTCGACTTCTATGCATGGTACATGCACCTACACAATCAATAAATAAATGAATGAATAAATAAATAATAGATAAATAAATAATAAATGTATGTAAATTAATTTTTAAAAAAAACATTGGGGAGTAGTGGGCCCTGTATCATGATAGGACTGAGTCATGGAGTGGAAATGGAAAAGGTATGACTAGTGATTAAGGCCTCTGTTCTTCCTCAGATTCCTGCACAACCTGCTTTGATGCCATTAATTAACTTGACAATGAAAACTCCTAATTCTCTGCTTATCCACCCAGGTGTGTGACTCATGTTGCATGCTCCCAGTACTAGTCCTAACCAGATTTGGGAGCCAGGAACATAAAGTGCTTTGAGGTATAAATGCCTCCTGCAGACTCTTACTCAGAGCTCTTGCCCAACTCTGCCAGCTTTTAGCTCTGTAACCTCAGACAAGTCTGCCAACTTCTTTGGACCTCAATTTCCTCCTCTGTAAAATGAGGATGATCTAATACTCGTATGACTGTTAGGCTAAAATGAGGTCATCTGTGTCAGGGGCTGAGAAATGAGCCTGGAACATACCATGTACTCCAAAAATGTTTTTAAAAAAAAGCAATCAAAGTGTTGAAAAAAATCACTAGAATTGAGACAAAAATGGAAGGAAGGGTGAAGGAGCTGATTTTATGCTCATATTCAGAGACAATAGAGTCTACATCATTTTTCAAGTAAATAAATGAAGAAGTAGAGATATGTTAAAGAAACTTTTGAAAACAGCCAGGCGTGGTGGCACAGGCCTTTAATCTCAGCACTCAGAAGGCAAAGGCAGGTGGAGCTCTGAGTTCAAGGACAGCCTGGTCTACATAGCAAGTGCCAGGCCAGCAGGGGCTACTGGAAGACCCTGTCTCAAAAAGAACCCCCAAAAGAGAAACTTTTAAGAACAATTAAAGACCAGGTGGAATGGTGTGCACCTCTAGTCCTGGATGAGGCAGGAGTTCTTGAGCCCAGGAATTTGAATCCAGCCTAGATAACTTAGAACAACCCCATCTTAAATAAATAAATAGAGAGATGGCTGAGAGGTTAAGAGCAGAGGATCAGCACAGACATGCTGGCTCACAACCATCTGTACTGTAACTCCAGTTCCAGGGGATCTGACACCCTCTTCTGGCCCCCATAGGCACTATATGCATGAGGTGCACATATGTACATGATGGCAAAACACTCACACACATAAAATAAAAGTAAATAAATCTAAAAAAGATAAATAATTAACAAACACTAAGAGCTATGAGTATAGTTCAGTAATGGAGTATGTACTTAACACACATGAGGCCCAACACACATGAGGCCCAGGACCTAATCCCTATCACCATAAAAATAAATGAATGAATGAATGAATGAATGAATGAATGAATGAATGAATAAATAAATAAATAAATAAATGCCAGGAAAAGAACCACAAATCTAGCAGATTACCAGAAGCGGGTGGAAGGACAGGGGGGAAAACTCCTGATATCAGTAAGAAAGGTAGGAAACAAACAAACAAAAAAAAAGACAAAAAGATTCAAGGAAAAAAAGTCCAAATGTATCTCATATTAGTAATATAAGATAAAATCTACTTATAAAAATAAAATTTTTAAACAGACCAAAGTTGTAACTCCCTAGTAGAGCACTTGCCAAACTAACATGTACAAGACCCAGATTTTATCCATGACATAACAGAAAGAAAACAACAGAATGAAAAGAAAAGGATATTCTGATTAGAAGGAAACACATATAGCATGAAGTCCTAGATGTCCTTTAAAATCTAGACGGGCTTGAGTGATGGCTCAGCAGTTAAGAGCACTGGCTGCTCTGACAGAGAACCGGGTTCAGGTCCCAGCACCGACATGGTGGACTATCCGTAATTCCAATTCCCAGGGCTCTGACACGCTCTTCTGGCCTCCTCAGGCACCAGGCACAGCTAACAGTGCACATACATACATGCAAGCTAAACACTCATAAAAGTAAGTAAATAAAATGGAATCTTTGCTTTAGGCTGAGATAAAGGAAGCCTTCAACAGGATTCTCCCCCACTCAAGCTGTCAAGGACTTCCTGGACAGTTTGCAGCACTAATTTCAAATCACACATTCTTTCTCCCCCACCCTGTAGTTCACGTCCATTCATTATAGTGACTTGCCATGTTACCCATGGAAGAGGGTTCACCTCTGCTGCATGTTGCCATGCTAACCAACTGAACTCTTAATCTGCAGAACATTCTGTTTTTAACCACACCCCCTTCTGTTTATTTGATAAACAAATAAAGTGTGTATATTTCAAAACAAAGTTCACCTAGTTCGTATGTTTTCATTTTCCAAATGTAGAATTATGCCTCCAAATCTGCTTTTCCCCTACCCTGTTCCCTTCAGGTTAAGAGTCACTGAGGTATGGAATCCTTTCCCAGGGAAATAAGTGAACAAACAAGTCTTATACGGTAATTATGAGATAAGATCCAGGATTCAAGGGTGTGGGCAGTTTCAGGCAACATCAGGCAGAATGGTCTAGCCTCTGGGCTCTGTCTTGAAAAGGTTTTCAAAATCCTCAGGTGTTAGGAGTAAGATCACAGAAGGCAGTCCTAGTGCTCTATAAAGAGGACCATCCTTAGCTTGGGAGAGGATGTCAAACCCAGGAGACTAGACTAAATGAGCCAGCCTGGATGCCCCTTCCCAATACCACCTCCAGAAAATAGTAATGTGTAACCACTATACTAACCAGGAGTATCTGTTAGTGATTCTTAATCTATACTTTCTTGAGACCAGGAAGGGTTCCAAAGGACCAAATGGCAAGTGGGTAAACATTCAATGTAAAAGCTTTGTCTCAGACAGAAACTCTGGGCATCCCTACTCTAGAAATTAACTAACATTTTGAGGGCTAAAAAAGTTCCAGACACTACCCTAAGCTCTTTCATTTAGCATGTTTCACTTTATTTTGAAAGCTTTTTGTTTTATATCCTCTTAACAGATGAGTAAGTTGAGGCAGGACTCAAAGCTGCTAAGCAATGGAGCTGGGGTTCAAAGAGTCTGACTCTAGAACTCTCACTCAGAGTGTTTATGATATATATCGCTCTCAAGTTTCACGATCACACCTTGAAGACCTTGAAGCAACAACTGTTCTAAGACTCTATGCAGCTCATTGCCCTGCCCCCTTCCTCTGTAGTTACATCGGCAAGGTAGACGTGCTGAATATTCTCGTCGCTGCCGCCTATCGCCACGTGCCATCTCTAGATCAGATCTTGCAACCAGCTGCAGTAACCAGGCTAAGGAACCAGCTCCTGGAAGCTGAGTACTACCAACTGGGCGTGGAGGTGAGACAAAGATAAAGCTTCCTTTTACCCCGTTGTACTTAGCCTTGCAAACAGGTCTTACCATCTCTCTGTTGTCATCCAGTTTGCCAAATGGGAATTGCATGTGGATGGTGGGAAGGTGGTGGTGCAATGGAACAGAATAGGTCTTGGAAGGACTCTTGGGTCTGGATATAGATATCTCTCACAGAAGGAGCAATTTTTCCTCCAGGTCTCTACAAAGACTGGACTTGATTCCACAGGGGCATGGCACGCCTGGGGCATGGCCTGCCTCAAAGCCGGGAACCTCACTGCTGCACGGGAGAAGTTCAGTCGCTGCCTGAAGCCCCCTTTTGACCTCAATCAGTTGAGTCACGGCTCGAGGCTGGTCCAGGATGTGGTTGAATACCTGGAGTCCACAGCAAGGCCTCTTGTTTCCTTGGTAAGAGCAAAGCAGGCAGAGTGCCCTGCTCTGCAAGGGAGGCTAGGACCAGTAAGGATCCAGGGAAAAGACTGGCTTAAATTCAACCGATAGTATGGGTGTGGCTCAGAAGCTGCTTGGTTGATATTTTGTTTATTTCTATTACACATAGTTAGAGAAGTAATGATATATGGTTAAACAAGTAATACAGAACAAAATTTTTGAAAAAGGAAACAATAAAAAAATAAAAATCACAAGCCAGGCATGGTGGAGCACACCAGGAATGGTGGCACACTCCTTTAGTCCCAGCACTCTGTGAGTTCAAGGCCTGCCTGGTCTACATAGTAAGTTCCAGGCCATCTGGGGCTATAGGGAGACCCTGTCTCAAAAAGACCGAAAAATTAAAATTAAATAAAAATCACACAGATTAGTTAGTATTAATGCTGTTCTTTTTAAAAATCAATTATTTTATATGTATAATAAGTGTTTTGCCTGCATGTTTGTAAGCGCACTACATGCGTGCAAAGCCCACAGAGGGCAAAAGAGGGCATCGAATCCTCTGGAACTGAAGTTACAGATGATTGTTAACCACCATGTAGGTGATAGGAACAGAACCCAGATTCTCTGCAAGAGCAGCTAGTGCTCTTACCCACTGAACCAACTCTCCAGCCCCCTTGTTCTTTTTTCTTTAATTTTGTGCATGTGTGTATTGTAGTGTATGTGTGTATGTAGAGGTGTGTATTCCTGTGTGATCACTTGTGCAGGTGCATGTAAAGGCCACACAAAAGTCAGTGTCAGATGTCTTCCCTCTATCGCTCGCCACCTTTTTTTGTTATTTATTTATTGGGGGTGATACACATATGGAGGCCAGGTGAAAACTCACTGGAGTCAGTTCTTTCCCTCCACCTCCACCATGTGGGTCCCAGGGGTCAAACTCAGATGTCGCAGCCAGCGCCTCTACCTACCTACTGAAGTAGCTCACCAAACTTTTTTTTTTTTCCTTTTTTTCTTTTAGACAGGGTCTCTCACCCTGAACCTGGAACTCACTGTTTCAGGGATATTGGCTCACCAGCTAGCCCCTGGAATCTGCCTGTCCCCTCCCTGGGGTTATAGATACACACTTTCATGCCCAGCTTTTCCATGGGTACTGGGGATCCAAATTCAGGTCCATATGCTTGCACAGCAAACACTTTACCAGCTAAGCCATCTCCCAGCCCTTGGTTTTATTTTATTTAGACAGGATCTCACTGTGTAGTACAGGGTATCCTTGAACTTACTAACCTCCAGCCTCAACCTTGTATACATCACAAAGCCTGGCTAGTATTAAGATTTTTATGAGAGGCAGACATAGTACATGCCTATAGTCCTAGCTGTTTGGAGGCTGAGGAGGTTGGGGACAATTTCTTGAGCCCAGGAGTTCAAAGGCTAAATTGGGTAACATGGGAAGATTGTTTCAAAAACAAAGTAACAACAAAATGGAAGTAAATTTTCTGGGTTATGCACTTATTCTTTTCTTGGTGTTTTTGAGACAGGGTCTCCCTGTAGCCCCAGCTGGCCTGGAACTCACTATGTAGACCAGGCTAGCCTTGAACTCACAGAGATCCGCCTGCCTCTGCCTCCTGAGTGCTGGGATTAAAGGTATGCACCACCACGCCTGGCTTGGGTGATGCTTTTGGATGGAGTTAGAGCTCTCCCTTCTTATATAGAATTTTATATTCTGCCTATTTTCTTCTCTTAAAAGTGGAGTATTTTTCACATTGCTAAGTGTTCCCTCGGGCAGCTGTGCTTCACATACAAGCATGTGGACTCTCTTGCTAGTGTCTACTGAAACTTAGTGCCTTCCTTTTTTCTCTCTTGTATTCTCTCCTTTCCTGTCAGCAAGATGATGATTACTTTGCCACCCTGAGGGAATTGGAAGCCACCCTTCGAACCCAGAGCCTCTTCCTGGAGGTAATTCCTGAAGGGAAGATCATGAACAACACCTACTACCAAGAATGCCTCTTCTACCTTCATAACTACAGCACCAACCTGGCCATCATCAGCTTCTACATGAGACACAGCTGCCTTCGGGAAGCCCTGCTGCACCTGCTCAATAAGGTGAGATGCTGAGAAACACCCCAAGAAGGGCAATGGCCACTTCACCCACCCCCTTACACTTAACTGAGTGTCTCAGTGTCCACTGTGAAATTATTTCCATCAGAATCAAGTCAAAATGGAAGACTGTCTACCCAGTTGTCCAGTGAATGAGCAACAAATCTTAACTGAGATCCCAGACCACCCTCCTGACAAGCAAAAGCAAATTCATCTTCCTCTCAAAACATACAGCAAACTCCTAACAATCAGCCTGGTCTCTGGAATGAGATCCTCAGTGGAAATCATGTGGTCTCAGACACACTGTTGAACCTCTTGGTTTCCACCAGACTTGTGACAGTGTCCACTTAGAGTTGTTACCATAAGGACCAGAGAGTACCCTGGCACATGCACATGATGAAAGGGGCACATGCTATCCTTGTTTCTCTCTTACCTTCCCTGCCAGCCTCCCACTGCTGAAGTGCATTGTTTCCTTTGTCATTTTTTTTTCCTTTGAGAGAGAGAGAGAGAGAGAGAGAGAGAGCGCACGGGTGTCATGGTACACCTGGGGCGGTCAGAGGACAACTTCCAGAGTCGGGTCTCACCTTCCACCTTGTTGAGGCAGGGTCCCCCTTATTCCTGCCTCTGCTCTGCGTACTCTAGGCTAGCTGGTTCTCCTGTTTTGCCTTTCATCTCGCCATAGGAGTTCTGGGATTACAGATGCACACTACTCTATCTTTCTGGCTTTTTACATAAGTTTCAGGAACCAAACTCGGGTTGTCAGGCTTGCACAGCAAGTTCTTTACCCACGGAGCCGTCTCCCAGACCTGGCTTCCCTTTTTTATCAGAACGTTCCATGGTAATTTTCTGACAGTGTGGCTGATATTTACCAAATGTCATAGAAAAGTAAAGGAGCTCATGGCAAACTTTAGTATCATTCGGCCACATGTAATCAAAACAGCAGCCAACAAAAATTTGCAAATATACATATGTTCTAGGATGGCTCCGAGAAAGATGAGTAGCCCAGCATCGTGGTAATCAGACCCTTGACTCCTACAGTGTAGCTGCTAAACAGTTCTCAAGAATCATATAGAAGTCTTGTCACTTATATTATTAATTTCCTCTTCTTTTTCTTCCATTTCCACATGAATTGAAAAGCAAAGATGCTTCTCCCAAGTATAGACAGAGAGTGGAAATCAGCCAGTCCTGTTGCTTTGGACAAATGCAGTCCACAGTTAAGCTGCTTACTTCATTATCTAGGTAGAAGCTGACAACAGCATTGCTCTTGCTGGACAAAGCCAGGGAGGCTTCTTTTTATCTCCTGTACTCACTTACCCTTGAACTGAAATATTTTGCCTTTATCTTCAAACAAGTAAGGTGAAAAGAAAAAACACTGAAATGGCACCTGAGTGCCTCCGACGTGGAAGGTTTCTACCTGTTCTTTTCCCTGTTCATTTTGCCCCTTTCCTCACACTACCCTCAACGTGAGCTTTCTAAATCATAAACCTCCTCATGTTACTCCCCTCCCTAAAAGGCCTTCAGTGGCTCATTGGGATGAAGGACAACTCCTTCAAATGCTGCAGAATACCTCAAGATTGGGCTCCCATCACTCTCATTTGTTTAACCACAGTGCTATTGGTACCCAGATTCCAGACTCATTGAAATATTGTGATATATGAACTTCCGTTTATCCATTCAGGCCCTCTACATTAAGCATTAAGAACACATAGCAGTTAATCACCTTCCCTCTGTCTCACCTTTCTACCTGTTGCTACATTTATCCTTCTTTTTTGCTACTATTTGTTTATAGGTAAGTCTTCCCATCTGGATTGAGGGCCTAGACTTTACTTTCCTGGGTGTTCAGATATCTGGCCTGGTACCAGCTACAAATGAATGAATAAATGAATGAATGACTAAAGTGAGCATCCTTAAAGTGCTCTGAGGAATTCCGTCTTTTCTGCAGAGTTGGTGCCTTGGCTCCTTGAAGTCTGGCCTATAACATTTAGATTAGGTCTGGTTTCTCAATTAGGAACAGCCAGAATTCGAAAAGGACTACCTAACCTTTGGCCACTGTAGGTGTCCTAAAGCCCAGGTCCTGTCCACTTCGAAGCAGCTCATGCCCAGTATGCCACATGGCCACTCATTTGTCGCCAGCCTTTACTCTATTAGGGAATCTTAACCTAAACTCTAAATATAAAAATTATTTATTTCTTTTCTATGGCTGTGGAATGAGGCTTTATGACTCAGGGCCTCAATAATGTTTATCAGTAGTTGGTTAATCCAACAAATATTTATTAAATAGCTAAGGACTATTCCAGGCACTAGGGATGCAGCAATTTTTTAAAAAAGAGGCAAAAATATCTGTCTCATAAAACGTATGTTGTAGTAGGCAAAGAAACAATAAATCAGGTAAATAAAATGTAAAATGCATAGAGTGGGTAATGGTAATCAGAAAAAAAATTGCCAATCATGGTGGCATGTGCCTTTAACCACAGCACTCCAGAGGCAAAAGCAGGTGGATCTCTGTGAGTTCAAGGCCAGCCTGGTCTACATACTGAGTTCCAGGCCAGGCAGGGCTACATAGTGAGACCTATCTTAAAAAACCTAAACAAGGCCAAGTGTAGTGGCACACGCCTTTAATCCCAGCACTCAGGAGGCAGAGGCAGGCGGAGCTCTGTGAGTTCAAGGCTAGCCTGGTCTACATAGTTCCAGGACAGCTGGAGCTACAGGGAGACCCTGTCTCAAAAAGACCAAAAAAAAATAATAATAATATTTAAGCTGGGAAAAGTGGTACACACCTTTAATCCCAGCAGTGGCAATTAGATCTCTTTGAGTTTGAGGTCTACATAGCTAATTCTAGGCCAGCTGGGGCTACAGGGAAACCCTGTCTCAAAAAAACAAATAAAAATTAATATATGTTAGAATTTTTTCATGGAAGAGGAAGCCATCTGTATCAAAAGCTACCAATATGGCTAGATATGAAAAAGTAAGTTACCTAGCATTTGAGAGGCCCTGAATTTTATCCCCAGCACCTCAAAGAAAAGAAGAAAAAAAAGGTGCTGATATATCAAATGGAAAAGGATAGAAAGCATTAACTGCTACAATTAACAGCTTACAGCTTCCTTGTTAGCTAGAGTGCAATTTCAGTAGCACTTGGGTGCAAAAGAGATGTTAGAGTGAATTAAAGAGAAAAATTCTAAGAGAGAAAAAAGGCTGTGAGTGTAGAGAATTATGTCCAGGGCTTTCCATGAAAGGAAGGAGAGAAATGGAACAGCCACCAGAGTGGGATTCTCAGAGGTATGGTGACACAGACGTTGAGAGATGCTGCCCTAGGAGGATGCTGAAGGCACATGAGTGTGAAGAAATTTCACGCAGATGCCAGACTGTGCCAGAACCAGACCCCCAGACTTCTGACTTCTTGCCTTGCCCTACTCCAGGAAAGTCCTCCAGACGTCTTCATAGAAGGCATTTTCCAGCCGAGCTATAAAAGTGGAAAGCTACACACTTTGGAAAATTTGCTGGAATCCATTGATCCAACCTTGGAGAGCTGGGGAACATACCTGATCGCCGCCTGCCAACATCTACAGAAGAAGAACTACTACCACATTCTGTATGAGCTGCAGCAGTTTATGAAGGTAACGAGAGTCCCATGCTCCCTTCTCGATGCCCTGCCATGCATGGGAGGTTGACTTGGAATCTGACTCTAGAGCAAATCCATCTTGCTCTCTAGCATTGTTAAATACTTGGATTTTCACTTTACATTTACAGATAAACTTTAATCTTGTTCATAACAGCTTCTTTAGCATTCAAGAAATGTAAAAGTTTTTTTTAAAGTACAGAATTTGTATGGAATGATGGAAAAGCTTTAGAGAAAAACACATGAGAGGAGGAGGACCAAGTTTCCCCTGAATGTCTGAAACTTGTCATTACTAGTATCTCAAAGAAATGATCTAATACCAAGTTAAGAGTAAAACCATTTGTGTGTTGGGTGTGGTGGTATACACCTTTAGTCCCAACACTCAGGAGGAAGAGGCAGACAGATCTCTGTGAGATTGAGGCCAGCTGGGGCTATAGGGAAAGCCTGTCTTAAAAGCCTCCTGCCTCCCCCCCCCAAAAAAAAAGAGTAAACCCATTGTGAATGGAGAATCAGGATTCCTTTTTGTAGATCACTTCAGTGATAAAATAATATCCAACCCAAAAGTCCAACCAGTCAGTTTACTTTAGGATCTCTGGGGCCTTGTAGTTACTGACACACAATACCAGTTCATCTTATGATGGGAGTAGGTACTGATTCTTAGCAAGGAAGAAGAGAGGAGCAGGAGCCAGGGGTGGAGACATCAGCCAGGGCCATAACATGCAGTTCTCCTCTTAAAGGAGGATCAGATCAGAATTCTCATATACCCACCCTCCAACTTCTCTGAGCTCTTTTAACCTGAAAGTGCATTTTTCAATTCTAGGACCAAGTCCGGGCCGCCATGACCTGCATTCGGTTCTTTAGTCACAAAGCAAAGTCATACACAGAGCTGGGAGAGAAGCTCTCATGGCTTCTTAAGGCTAAGGACCACCTGAAGATCTACCTCCAAGAAACATCCCGCAGCTCTGGAAGGAAGAAAGCCACCTTCTTCCGAAAGAAGATGAGTGCAGCTGATGTGTCCAGGTAGCACTGGGGTCGAGGATGATCAGTGCAGGGCAGAAAGGCTGGGCTGTGTTACTAGTAATGATAAAGGCGTCAGCCCGGAATGCTGCAGAGGTACTTCTAGGGAAGGGGATTAGGATCACATGCTATACATACCCAGACTAAACCCACATTCCTTACAATGGGCAAAAAAGGTCCCATGTGATTTATGTCTCTGCTCCTCTCCTTGCTATACATCTGCTGCTGGCCTCCAGGACCCTCAACACAAGTGCAGTCTTCCTTTCTGCTACGCTTCCTAACCCCTCTGCTCAGAACACAACCTCTGAAGGAAATGCTTAGCCAGACATGGTAGTGACTCCTGCCACTCAGAAGGCTGAAGCAGGAGCATTGTGAGTTCCAGGCAGCGTAGGCAATGCAGCTAGACCTCGTCTCAGAAAAATGGAATAAACAAGTTAATATTCCACCACTCCTACTCGTTGCCTTTCATAGATGCAGGCACTATGCCTTCTGTATTCGATTACTATGGTTACTATTCATTTTTCCTCTAGCCTCTGAGATGTAAGGACAGGGCTCATGCTTCCCTTCTTACTCTCAGACCTGCCACATAGGTATTCAGTAAGTATTGACTTTGTCCAGGCCCACAGTGCATCTCAAGCATTATGTGTCTGTGGGCGGCTCTAGGTCCCTCATTTCTCTCTAATCACAGCTGCTTAGTAGATATTTCAGGTCTCTTCCTTTCATGTCATTTCTTTTGCCTTTTCCATTGCCATCTTCTTATGAAGCAATCACCCAACCCCAGATATCTCACCCCTGAGACTGGACCATGCCTGTCCTGTCCCTATAGGCACATGAATACACTTCAGCTGCAAATGGAAGTGACCAGGTTCTTACATCGGTGTGAAAGTGCTGGAACCTCTCAAATCGCTACTTTGCCTCTGCCAACACTGTTTGGAAATAACCACATGAAAATGGAAGTTGCCTGTAAGGTACGTGCAGTGTCTGACCTCAGATGACTGCTTGCATCTATTTAATTCCTAACATATATAAATGGGCTGGGTGTGGTGGCTCATAACTGTAATCCCAGCACCCAGAGGCAGAGGAAGAAGGATCATCATTGCAAGTTCAAGGCCAGCCTGATCTACAAAATAAGTTCCAAGCCAGCTAGGGCTATATAGCAAGACCCCATCTTAAAACAAACAAAATAATAATAATAATGAGTAAATGGGGGCCCTCGTTTTTTTATTGAGGAGCTATTAATAATTAAAATTTCTTTAAGTATGTCTTCCTCTCCATCCAGGTTATGCTAGGAGGGAAAAATGTGGAAGATGGTTTTGGAATTGCATTCCGTGTTCTGCAGGTACGGTGAATTATTCAAGATTATGCCAAGAGACTTAGCACTAGACATTTCCATGAGAGATTTTTTTTTTTTTTAATGTGTATGAGTGTATTGCCCGTATGTATGTGAGTGCACCCGTGTCATGCAATGCTGCAGAGGTGAGAAGAGGGCTTCAGAATCTCCTGGAACTGGAGTTAAGGACGGTTCATAGCCACCATGTGGGTCCTGGGAATCGAACCCGGGTCCTCTGAAAGAGCAGTCAGTGCTCTTAACCTCTGAGCCATCTCTCCAGCCCCAAGAGGTTATTTTTAGAAAATTTTTATCCCAAGAAAAGCAGATTACGTACATTAGGGGTGAAATCAGAGTTGATTGTTATGGAACTGGGTCAAATGCTAGACTCTCTGCCACTTATCAAAAAGCCAAGTAACCTCCTAAAAGCTATCGAGTAAGTCTCTGGAGCCCAGGTAAGACAGTTCCCCACAGCTGGTTTCCTATAGAACAATCACTCACTGGCCTTCACGGAAAGGCCTGGCTAGAGGGAGTAGCCAAGACAGCTCCCGAGCCCTGTGGTAGAAGGACTAGCCTAGATCAGGTTTAAGATGTTTATCTGGTAGTTTTCAACAAGTGAGCTTTTTAGCAATCTGCTTCAGAACACAAAGGCAGCTCTTAACAGAGAACCAAGTATCCACAGTGACAAACACCAGTTCAGTGCACCATTTGCCAAAGAAAGGTGAGTCAGAAAAGAGAGGATTGTTCTTAGAAAAAAGTAGAATATTTTCCAAAGTCTCAATGACACACCCCTGTAATCTCAGCATTTGGGAAGTGGAGGCAGGAAGATCAAGAATTCAAGGCCGGCCTTGACCCTTTTTCACAAAAAGAAAAACAAAGAGAAGAAAGTCTCAGAGAAGCAAGTAAGATGCACCATTTCATATATTGAGGGTACTTTTTTTTTTTCAGTCTTTTGAGACAGGTCTCCCTGTAATCCCAGCTGGCCTGGAACTTGCTTTGTAGACCAGGCTGACCTTGAACTCACAGAGATCCGCCTGCCTCTGCCTCCTGAGTGTTGGGATTAAAGGCATGCACCACCACACTGAGCTTGAGGGTACAATTTTTATAGATGCTTCTTGAATGTTTACCTGACTCCAGAGAGGATCTCTTCTTGCTTTTGTGGTATTTGGTCCCTGTTGTGATTGCAATCCCCTCCCACTGTGGACATCCCCAGCTGTTCTAAGTCCCTCATCTCATGTTCTGTCCCAGGACTTCCAGCTGGATGCTGCTGCAACGTACTGCAGAGCTGCCCGGCAGCTGGTGGAGAAGGAGAAATACAGTGAGATCCGACAGCTGCTTAAATGCGTCAGTGAGTCAGGCATGGCAGCCAAAAGCGACGGTGACACCATCCTCCTCGACTGCCTGGAAGCCTTCAAGAGAATTCCACCACAGGTGCACTCACTCCCATGCCTCCAGGGTCCTCGTCTATTTCAATAATATCCCATCTTCTTCCTCCTCATTTTTCTGTTCCCCAAATGTGTTTGAAATGATACAAGATCCCTTTCTCTTTCTCCCTCTGCAACAATGGCCTCACTCTGAACAATCCTTTGCCTGTACAGAGGTCATAGTCATGACTTTCATACCCTGAAGGTGTCCCTCCGCATCCTCTTGTCTAATACTGTGTGGAACTGGAAATATCTGTGCACTAACCAAGTGTAGCTGCTCACTCTGATTCTAGGGATCAGCGAGGGCCAGTAGATGGTCTCTGAATCATACTGCCTACAAAATTGCCCCTTCTAACTCTCTTGTGGGGTAAACATTTGTGAAAGGTTGAGCACCACCCTCTTGAGAGATGTTTCTTCTCCCCTAGTTCCCAGGCCTGGTGCTATCATTAGTTTTCCTTTATTGTTCTTACAATAGGAATTGAGTTCGATGAGTCAAGCAGGCATTCCTACCTTGGAGTCATAGCGGCTAGTCTGAGACCAGGTGTCCCAGGCACGGGGTTCTTGTCCTTCTCACAGCTTTGTGTCTCTGTTATGCACAGGAACTGGAGGGCTTGATCCAGGCAATTCACAACGATGACAACAAGGTAAGCAGAGATATCTCCTAGCACTGGTGATGCTGAGCAGCACCGGGGCTTCCCTTGCTCCCCACCATATTCCATGCAGTTTCTTTGTTACCCAGGACTTAGACAGTGGTTTAAAAGAGAGGGAATAGTAGATGGGGAACATGAATATTGACTACCTCCCACTGCCATCCCAATTTTTTATCCGTGAGGCTGCTTCTAAATCTCCATGTTATACTGAAGTCTCCCCCAGAGAGCCACAGGAAATCTTTCCTTTCCATCTTCAGTTTAACTGGTGGTTGTATGGGTTCCCAGGGTGGACAAGTATTTCCTTATTCTAGAAGGAAAAGAGTACAGCAAGAAAATGCCCCACTACATTAGTTATTTCTCATTGCTGTGACAAAGTTCCCAGCAAGAAGCATTTAAGGAAGGGAAGAGTTAATCTGGCTTACAGTTTGAGGGGTACAGTCCCCCAGGGCTCAGAAGGCATGGTGGCAGAAGCAGGAAACTGGCTGGTCACATTGCATTGCGAGTCAGGAAGCCCTAAAACTTCAAGGCCCACCCCCAGTGACCCACTCCCTTCAACAAAGCTCTACCTCCTAAAGGTTCCACAACCTTCCAAAACAGCACCACCAGCTGGTGCTGTTCAAACACATGAGCCTCTGGGGGATATCTCACATTCAAACTAAAACACCCACCCTTTAGCAGACAATGTCTACATTTCTCATTTGTCAGAATGGACCTATCCTCTGGGCCCAGTGAAAGCTTCCCTGTCTGGGAAATGGCTGAACCTTCTGCTTTGCATTACCTCTATGAGGAGTGCCCCTGGTCGTGGCTAGTCAGGGGATCAACCCTGCCATTGGCAGAGAGGCCTCTAGAACAGGAGAGCCCTAGAAAAGCCAAGCCAAACCAGGCTGGCCATCAGGAGAGGAATGTTCTGGCCTGCTAAGTCTATTATGACAAAAAGTAGTGTCAGGCAATGACTTCTTACACAGTCACAGAGCTGCTGCCCCTCCCCCATCATTGTTCATCCCTGGACAGAATATACAGGACATTTTTCAGTCTAGGTCCTAAGAAGAGCATGCTCTAACCATCCCCTGGTTATTTGTGCAACATCTAATAAGGTCCTTGGAAAGGATGAAATCCAACATTCTGAAATGAGAAATACTTTCTTTCCTAGAATCTGAATGAGAACCCAAGAGTGAGGACAGACACTCGGGCCCCTTAAGTCCCAAACTAGGAGTTCTTGCCTAAGCTTTCACTGAGTCCCCCACTTAACAAGACAGTGGCTTTGTCCCAGAGAAAGTCATATACTCCAACCTGGATAGCTGTTATTACGTTTTCAGTTTGGGGTTTTTCTGTTGTGATGGCTATTGTTCTCTCTCAACAGCAATTCTGTTGCACTTATGTAATCTCAGGCCACAAGGTCTTGCCAAAAAACAGCTTGACCCATTTTTTATTCTAGACACTAGAAAAATAGCATTCTTCTATCAGTAGGAATTTTGCCTGTCAACTTGTGGTACTTCATGTATGTAGACTTAACTGGAGTTAGAGGCCTGGATGAGGGTTTAGTGAGCTCACGACACACAGACGTCTAGTAATAGGAAACTATGTGTATTCAAGCTGAGAAAGAAAGACTTTAGTGACCAAGCCAGGCCCCCAAAAAAGAGTCTCCTCTGCTACCTGGAAGGACTGTTGCAGCAGAAAGGCAGCCACAGTGGGAACTCTCCGGCAGCATGTGGATGCCTAGCTTCCTCAGCCCAGAGTACAGCCCAGAAGACGCTAGTGAGACCTGAGCCAAGGAGAAAAGAGGTTCTTGACTCAATGAGATGGAGAGTGTAGGAGATACATGTGTCCCAAAACTGAGCTGCCTCAGATCTAAACAAGAGTAGTCAAGTCAAGTCTAACTGGGGTTAGACCTTAACTAGACCCTTTCTAATTGTGTGTAGGTTTTCCTCCCCAAATTCCGTTAATGGATTTTAAAATCAGTGGTGGGGCTATAGTTCAATGGTAGAGTGCTTTTCCTAGCATGCATAAGGCCCAGGTTCAATCCCCAGACCACTCTCCACCCCAATTTTTTTTTAATTCAGCATGTTAAAAAAAAACTAAAATCAATGCCAGGCGTGGTGGCATGTACTTTTAATCCCAGCCCTCAGGAGGCAGAGGCAGGTGGGTCTCTGCAAGATCAAGGCTACCCTGGTTCACATTGTGGCTTCCAGGTGGGCTATGACTAGGGAGACCCTGTCAAAAAACAACCAACAAAAAGACACACAAAAAACTAAAATCAAGAAAGGGAATCTATAAATCCTTTGTAGAAAAAAGGGATGATTGTTCACCGATTCATACGCTCACATAGTGTATAGTGAACACAATTACATGTTAAGGGGGTGGAAATGGCAGACCGTTCCTGTCCCTGTGGACCTCAATCAGTCAAACACCAGATAACTGTACAATCACAACTGTGGATGCTAACAATACTAATTACGATGCTAGGAGGATGCTGAAGCAGCTCAGAGGAGTGGACAGAGGCCAGACTTTGTCTGTCTGCCTTAGTTTTTAAATGTTTTAGTTTATATATCATAGCTTTCTGCATTAGAGTGGTCTAGAATATTTCAAGTTGCTATGAAACAGTAAAAGGTAAGAAGCTAGGTTTGCTTTGGTGGGTGAGAAGTACCAGCTCTCTGCTTATGCTTTCTGATGCAGCCCTGCATGTCTGTTGATGAGCCTTCAATGATCATTTCTTTTCAACTACCTCATATCCAATCACCAGGTCCGAGCCTACCTGACATGTTGCAAACTGCGCTCTGCCTACCTGATCGCCGTGAAGCAAGAATATTCACGGGCTGCCGCCCTCGTCCAGCAGGTGCAACAGGCCGCTAAGAGCAGTGGGGATGCTGTAGTGCAAGACATCTGTGCTCAGTGGCTTCTGACAAGCCACCCCCGAGGTGCCCATGGCTCAAGTTCCAGGAAGTGACCCTAGGCTGCAGGGCACTGAACACATAACCTGGAACTATGGCAACAGGTGGAACACCCTCCACCTCCTTCTCTGGCTCTGCCCAAGGTGAAGTAAGCAGGATTGGACCCTACTTGCTGGGATGGGCAAGAGCAGGACCTTTCACACAAGTGCCATGTTTCTATAATATTGTAGAGTCTGTTTGTCTGGAGATAGCCACTTCTTTCTACCTCAGAGTGACTGTGTGCATATGTGCACATAAGTGTGCATGCTCCTGTGCACTCATGTTTACGCCCAAGTACTTTATGAACAAATGAGAGTCTCCCCATTGAAAAGAGGCACTTTACTTTAGACTTCTGCTCTGAAAACCTTCCCTGCATTTTGGTTCTTAACCCGGGTCATCCTGATTTGTACACAGTCCCCTCTGTGAAGTCATGCTTTAATAGCTCATCTTAACTGGAGGGCTTTAACAGAGAATGACAGGCAATGCCAGAAAGATTGCTTCTTTTCCTTTCCCAAAATTCAGAGATAGCTGCGGGGCAGTGCTGCCTGTGGAATATGGCAGCTCTCCGGATGACTCCTCTCATAAGCACAAGGAACTGAGAGTCTTCGAGGTAGAGGAACACAAGGTTTTCAGGTGCAGGCATCTGAGAACTCTGGCTTTAGTACAAATGGTCAGGTCTCGGAGGATGGGGCAAGGCACCATCACATCCAGGGGGGAAGGAAAGGTAGGCCTCTCCGAGCACAGAGCTGGCTCTTGTGACTATCCCTGCTGCAAAGTTGATGGACGAGGAAGTATAGGTCCTTCTTTCAGAGTCTGGGGAGGGAAATGGTAGCCAGGATCCTAGGACTGAATGGTTGGCCTCTTACCTATTCAAGTTCCCATCCTGTTTGTGCCTCTTGATTTGTTAAGAAACCATTTCCCCATTCCTGTAGGCTTCCCCTCAGTCTCCTCAGGACCATGGCTAGATATGCAAACACCTAGCTCACTGAGGCAGCACTACACTTGTCTCAACAGAGGGAATCAGAGGTTCACTTCAGAGTTGTGTCTTCAGATGAGTCAGAGCAAGTGGATAACAAATAAGTACCATCTGGTTGGTGAGAAACTAGATGAAGGATTTCTTTAATGTGCATAGTCTTCCCATCTGGAAGTGTTTAAGGTAAGCTCGTTCAGTGACTAATTTACAATGAGAGGCCTAAAGAAGAGCCTGGTAGCACTAAGTCTCCCACCAGCCAGAGCTCGGCCTGTTGCTCTCACTTTTGCTGCTAAGACAAAAGGAACTAGAAGCTGAAGTCAGTATCTCTGGTGCTTAGAAACCCTGTGGATTTCCCTCTGACCCAAGCTTTTCAGAGTAAACAACTGTTAATGGACATCCAAGGTTTGGTCCTATTAGAAAGGCAAAAGCCTGAAGGAAAATACTAGATCTCTTAAGGGTGAAGCCTAAGATGTGGCTTTCCCTTCCTAGAGTTCAGCTTCCAGGAAACATCATTGCCTGGTGCCTGTTGTTTGCCTGCCCTTGTCTCCCCTTTTTGCACTGAGCATAAGCACTTTACACAACTGGTTTGCAAATCTTGCAACCCTTAATTTCGGATATTATGACCAGATTTCCCTGACTTTCATCTAACTTGTTGAACTGTAAAATAGGCAACCATTGACCAGACTGACAAAAAGAGACTACAGTCACACTTAGAGCATCATACTGTGGTCTCCTGCAGAGCAACAGTAACACCAAAATAAATACATGCCAGGGCGGGGGGGTGTTAATGTTCTACTACAAGCAAGCCACAATAAAGTCTCTAACCCAGCTAGTTTCTTGGCTTCATGATTTTTTTTTAATCATCTTTATAAATCATGTGTACATGAGTGTGTGTGTATATGCGTGTGCTTGCATGTATGTGTACCACCATGTGCATACTTGGTACCCGTGGAGGCCAGAAAAGAGTGTCAGACTCGCTGGAACTAGAGTTGTGAGCCACCTGATGATGATAGGAACTGAACCCAGGGTCTCTGCAAGAGCAGCAAGTGCTCTTAACTGCTCAGCCGTCTCTCCAGCCCATGATTTTTTGTTTATCTACTTATTCGTTTGTTTTGAGAAACAAGTTCTCATGTGACCCAAGCTGACCTCAAACTCCCTAAGGAGCTGAAGGTAACCTTGAATTCCTGATCCTCCTGCCTTCATGTTTCCTGATTTGTGTGTATGTATGTGTGTGTGTTCTCATTCCTCCTGTTCTTTGTTCTTATGGAGAGAAAAAGCGAGTGGTTAAGAGCAAGTGGCTTCAACTGTCCAATTCCTCTTAACTCCTCTAGTGACTAGTGACTCCTCAGAATTTTCTCACATGTCCTATGTATTAAAAGCATAGTGGGCCAAGGAGATGGCTCCATGGACAAAGTTCTTGGCACACAAGGCTGACAACCTGAGTTCAATTCCCAGAACGCACATAAAGACAGAAGGAAAAAAACTGACACTACAAAGTTGTTCTCTGACCTCCACACACATGCTGTGGCATGCATGTGCGTGCGTGCATGCGTGCGCGTGCACGCGCACACACACACACACATTATATACACAATAATAATAAAACCTAAAGAAATTAGTATATTGTGTGCTGGGGACACAGCTCAATAGAGAGCAATTGCCTGGCATGTGCAAGGCCCTCCATTCAGTCCCCAGGATCAACAAAAACAAACCTATTTATGTACCCTCTACCAGCATAAAACTTGTTTTGTTTCATTTTTGCTTCAGCTGAAGTCGTGGTGGAGATAGATAATACGAGTAGAAAACGAGTGAAAAATCCCTCCCATCTCAGCCCTCCTCCCCAGAGGTCACCAGTGTTACCAATACTTAGTATGTAGTTCCAGGGGTACTGTATGCATGAGCAAGCTTTGATGGCTAAAGTATACTGGGATGGATATAATAATCCCATCATGATTTAACCAGTCTTGAGGGGGCATTCAAAGTTGTTGCTTTCTTTTGCCACAATAAGTTATACTGCGATGATTTATCCAGAATTTCTGGGTTGGGTCAGAGGATATGTATATTTGGCAAATAGTCGCCTTCCACACAATTGACTCTCCCTCCAACAGTGCAGAGAGCACATGCTCACCGTTCTTGTTCCAGTAGTTCACAAACTGGAGTTTTGCCAGTGTGGTGGGGAAAAGATGGTACTCTGAAACTTTTAAAAGCTATTTTTCAGGCAAGACAAAAAAAAAGTCATTTTTTAAACTCTGTGTATGATTCTCAGCATGACTTAAAAAAAAAAAAGCCAGTAAATTCTATATAGTTTTTTGTTTGGTTGGTTGCTTTGGTTTTGGGGGGTTTGGGGTTTTTGTTGTTGTTGTTATTGTCTTTTTGAGATGGGGACACTCACTATGTAGACCAGGCTGACCTTGAATGCACAGAGATCTACCTGGCTCTGCCTCCTGAGTGCTGGGATTAAAGGCATGCACCACCACACCCGGCCTCTATATTTTTAATATCAACCAATTTGTGAATTTTTTTAAACTATATGTCAGGTATTTGAGGAGAGCATAACTCAAGCTTTAAACTGTTGGCCTTCCTCTTGGGGCATACATCTGCAGAACAATACCTGAGCTGAGGGCATCCGCATTGCTCTCTTATCACCTTTCCCCAGAAACATGATCCCATCCAATTTCTCGTTAAAAAATACACCAAACATGATAATGATGAAAGTAGACCTGAAAACTATCTGGAGTGGACCTGACACAAAGATGTCAGAACAGAGAATATGGGAGCATGCGAGCTAAATGTAGGGCAGATGAACACTACGTTCAGAAACCTGAGACAAGCTCGGTTGCCAGATGTCTTTGGCTGAAGCTTAGGCAAAGCAGATCCCAGGCTATTAGACTCCTTTACTATTCAGGCAACCAAATATCAATAGTCACAGTTGCCTGGTCTCGTTACCTCTTCAGTGTTGTATTCCTTTTCTTGGAGAAATGTGAACAAGCATCTATTCACCCCACATAGGGGTGAAAGAAACAATTTCACTCAAGTCTAGCTGGTGAACTGATGAGTTTATTAGGGTTATTCACAGGAGCACAGATGAATCTCTCCCAGCTGCATCATGAAAAGCCCACTCCTACATGGATAATTCACAAAACCTGCATCCCAACAGCTCCCTGCCCAACTGGAAGACAGCTCCACCAAGACAGTCTCCTTTCCCCAGCAATCGTTTAGTGCTTATATCACCTTGTGGGGGGACTTGGTGAATATTTTGACATGCTGAGCTTCCTACTCTTGTAAGTTTCATGAACTTCCAGTCCCCTTCCCTCCTCAATTCGGCTCTGTTAGCATCTAGTTACTGATGGCCTCCTTGGTGAACTGCATTCCTGATCCCTGCCTTTCATACTGGTGCTACTTGGAGCCCCTCCTACAGCACCCTCCAGACTGCAACTGCCAGAACTTCAAGTCCATATCAAACGCCATCTTCTCTACTAATTATTTCTTTCTCTGCCTATATTCTCTTTTCATCCTTAAGATCCTACCATTCCCTCTGGACAGTGTTTCTCTTTACTCCCACAGCTTTAACAATCACCTTCAATGGCTAAGTTTCAAACTAAATTGATCCCCCTTGACTCTTCTCCATGTTAGATCTGTCAGATAAAATTTATCTACATGGTGGACCTGCACCTCAAAATTATTGGCATGTCCGGGGCTGGAGAGATGGCTCAGCAGTTAAGAGTACTGATTGCTTTTGCAGAGGAACCGGGTTCAATTCCCAGCACCCACATGGCGACTACAAACCATCCTTAACTCCAGTTCCAGGGGAATCTGACGCCCTCTTCTGCACTCTGCAGCATTGCATGACATGGATGTACTCACATAAAATAAAAATAATAAATAAAATATTTTTAAAAAATTATTGGCATATCCAAAACAGGATAAATCCCATTCATCTCACAACCTTAGCTTACTTCTATGACTATCAGTATGAATTGATCATCTTTCTGGGTTAGAAATATCTGTGCTGTTTATTCTCATTCCTCAAACATTCCAGCATAGGTCTAGTAGGAAGCCAAATGGATCATTCTACCATTCTAGTCAGAAGACTGTCCCCCCTGCTTCATCACCTTAGCTCAGGTCCTTGCCATCTCCTCCCCTTTGCCTTAAACATTCATCCTAGAGTTGTATTTTCTACTGACAGACAATAATGCTAGAAGGATTGAAAGGCTTCATAATTTGGTGGTATGAAAAGCATTGAAGTAGACATAAACCCCAGAATCTTTGAAAGACTTAATTTTTGAGTGTTAAAATATAAATAGAGCCAGGCATGGTGGCGCACACCTTTAATCCCAGCACTTGTGAGGCAGAGGCAGGCAGATCTTTGTGAGTTCGAGGCCAGCCTGGTCTACGTAGTGAGTTCCAGGACAGCTGGGGCTACAAGGAGACCCTGTCTCAAAAGAGACACACACACACACACACACACACACACACACACACAACACACACACACATATATATATATATATATATATACACATATATATAGCATAAAATTTACCATTTACAAATGGACAATTGAGTAGTATTGTGTACATTCACATTGTTGTGCAACTTTCACCATTATTGCCAAACCTTGTTCATTAACTCAAACTGACCCTCTACCCATTAAACACCAACTCCTCTTTTTTCCCTTCTCCATCCTCTGGTAACCTCTATTGAACTGTTTGTCCCTGTAAATCTGACTACTTATATGATGTATCTCCTCTAAGTAGGAATAGTTCACTTAAGAAAACAAACCTAGAGGTAATTCCTGATAGAGGAAACAAATTCTTTGTAAGAAAATGAGCATAATGGAGAATGCTTAAATTAAAGTTGAAAAGATATTCTTGCTGAAATGAAAGTAAAAAATATACATTTTAAAGAATGAGCATATAGGGACTGGAGAGATGGCTCAGTGGTTTAGAGCACTGACTGCTCTTGCAGAGGACCTGGGTTCGATTCCCAGCACCCACATGGCAACTATCAACCGTCTGAAACTCCAGTTCCAGGGGATGGATCCAACACCTTCTGATCTCCACAGGCATTGCATGTGCACTTACATACATGCAGGCAGTGCACTCATACACATAAAATAAAAATAATAAAATATTAAAAAGAATGAGCGTATAATATTTTATAAATCACGTATGTCTTAATTACTCATCTGAACATTTTTGGTCTGCATGCTCCTTCTCTCTTCATCACCTTCTTGCTACATACAGAATGTGTAGCGGAGAACTCAAGGACCCGAAGGATAATGGCCATGCGAAACAAAATTACCCTCCTAACTTATCTCGTCACTACATTATACCATGAACAAGAAATAAACTTTTACTGTATTAAGCCATAAAATTGAACATTGTTTATTTGAACAGTTACTCTCTTATTAGAATAAGTTGTTCTTTGTGTTCTATGATCGTCTTGGCTGTTTTCACTAATAGATATATAGAAAAGTCTTAACACATTGATTAAAATTTGGATGAACACCTTTGACAGTATAGTAAGTCTTAAGATTCTTTGTATTAGAATGTTAAATCAGTTAACTTCACAGGTATGAAATCATCAGATGCTGAAAGAACCAGGGTGGAGAAAAATATAATAATGCAAACATCAAAATTTCACTTGGAATATTAAGAAATTGAAAGTGGCAAAAGTAGGTCAGAAGGCCAAGTGTGGTGTTGCACACCTGTAATCCCAGAAAGATAACAAGTTTAAGCAAGTACCAGGACAGCCTAGGGTACATATTGAGACCCTCTTTCAAAAAAGAAAAAGAAAAAAACAAAACAAAACAGAAAGAAGTCTGAGTTT